AATTACTTAGTCATACTAGTCAGAATATCAGCAATATTTTGCAAGAACAGTTTAGAGTGATTTACTAGCAGCAATATAAAATTAAAAAGATCTTAATTTAAACACGGTTAGCCATTGCAAAACACTATAGTATAGTCTAGTATAGTATAGTCTAGTATAGTATAGTCTATTAACATTATTATCATCATCTACCTCATCTTCTTTTACAATTTACGCAATGGAACGATAGAAAATTTGCATTTTTTTCCGAAGCAGCATATAAGAAGAAATGTATCGATATCGTTGTTCATGTATTGATAGTTTGTTCCGAAGAAAACAAACTCTCTCGAAATCGAACTGTTGGACTTTCAAAAATCTGTCTCGTAACTATATTTTTTGGATCATTAAATTCTTGTTGCTTGCTTAACACTCATTGTTAATGAACAATACTATTCTGTCTAAGGGATTAAAAAGGCTCGAATTTTGTAAATTGAACTAAACTAATACAGTGTAAGAGACTGTAACGACCCTATCAGACACTGGCCATAGGAAACTATACCTACACTAATACACTACACTAATAAGAGTAAATTAGGTTTGCTATAATCTAAAGAATTTTAGAAGATGCTGGAAAAAGTTAGAGGAATCAAAATGCTTAACCTAGTGTAGTTTTTAAATACTACTTAAAAAGATATCAAAGTTAAGGAAATATAATAAAATGTTACAACTGTCGAGCAAAAATCCAAATTTTTTTTTTTTAATATTTATTTTGTTTATTTAATTTTATTTTTTGTTAATGTTTTTTTTTTTACAAGAGGTTAAAACTAAGCACACTGTTTGGTATAACGCAGAGGCTATATAATACTGAGTCTGATAGCCACGACGGTGAATTCCTAGAAATTTAAGGCATCTTTTCCGTCCAATAGCAATATACACCGAAGAGCCATTACATTATGACCACCCTCCATCTATAACAATGGGCTCGCCCAGGTTTTCATGGTTTCTCGCCCAGGAACAATGTTTTCATGGGTCACATTAGGACCTATATTCTTCATAGAACAATCCCTAACGTCTGTAAGCTACTTAAACATAGTTGCAGACCAGGTTCACCCATTCATGGCAACAGTTTTTACTGCGGGGGACAGTGTTTACCAACAGAATAATGCACAATGTCATAAGGGTCGAATCATCGGGGAACATTCCAGTGACTTTCAAGTCATGTCTTGGCCCCCAAATTCACCTGACCTTAATTCAATAGAGCATTTGTGGTCCTACTTGGAAAACCAAATTCGTGCTGCCACGCTACTCCCTCTCAATGTGAGGGAATTGCTGGACCAGTTGGTGAGCGCTTGGCACCGGATACCTCAGACTGCCTATCAGCGCCTTGTAGAATCAATGCCACGGCGGGTGCAAGCAGTTTTGATGGCGAAAGGTGGACATGTTAGTAGTATATGGGGGGGGCTAGAGGACACTTTTGCCCTTTCCATATACTACTATTGATTTNTATATATATATATATACCTTAATTTTGTTCTGAAAATAATGTAACCATTTTTTTTCTTTCTAATTTTGCTCTGGTTACTGACCTCAGTTTTGAGAATTAGATTGGTACCACAATCACAGATTCATTAAATATAACAAATGATCTTAAATACCTGAAAACGTTAAGTAGTTTGGGTTCTAAAAGTACAGTTTTGATAACGAATGTTATTTTTAAACTTTCCACTTTCAAGTCTTAGTCAACGACGAAATTAATTGGTCTTTTTATTACTCCTTTAAAAATAAATTCTAAAAGGCATTAGTTAAATGCCCACTAAAAAAGAGCAACTTATTTCAGAAAACATTGAGTTAGGTCAGAAAATTTTCATTACTTTCCGTCTTTAAGGTAATCTTTAGTTTCAAATCTCTGCAGTCAACTTAAATTAAAACAACAAAACCCTTTATTTTTTTTTTTAAACACATCTGGAGAAAGAGGCAGTAGTGTTTTCTCTGGTTATATTGGCATCATTGTAAAGCTTAACTCTTGAATGTTTCGTTGGGAAATACTAATAATGGGAAATCAATAGAGGAAACGATCTTTCTATTTTCTTCTTAAACGATCTATGTTAAGCAAACAATGTGCTTTAGCTCTACCCTTTCATTGGCAATAGCTTTGACGCGGATAAACGATTAAGAATTCTCTTTTAAAGGGAACAGTTGGCTTATTGTTTCCACAGAGAATATTATGGTTGCTCGTTGTATTTAAATTTTTAAGCACGGCAAACTTTTACTAGCTTTTATTATTTTTCGCATAATTGAGTTGAATAAGAACTCATGTTTCTTTAATTTGACCGCATTTAGTAGAAAAAGTTCGAGTGTAATTGTCTTTTCAAAATAAATTTTATGCGTAGCTGCTACTTTTGCTACTTTAACTTTAAGAAGAATAGTTAAAATATATTCCGAACAGAAATTTCAGGCTTTATAGTATTTGCCATTTGTAATAATACTATATTTCTAAGTTTATGTTATATTAAATTATACGTGAAGTGGGAATTCTTTACAGCTGCTCAGACGTAAAAGAGAAAAAAAACTGTTGTTTTAGTTTACTTTTGTTTCACTTCAGATAAAACAAAAATATAACTAGAAATAGTTTACTTTGCTCTTAGTTGATTTATTTTCTACGTAAAGTTCAAAAAGTTTTTACAAAAGAATAACGATACATATTTTTGCAATAATCTAAACCGTTGACTAAATTCACTTCGAATTTTAATATAAGAAATCTTTTCCACAATAAAACATATTAAACAAGCATAAATTTTTACGATATATTACAAATATATTATAGAAATCTTGACAAATTAAGATGATGTAGTTATTAATTTTGGTTTTAAATATCTTAAGCAGTAGCAAGGAAAAGGTAATTCTTTCTTTCTTTTTTTTCTCTTTTTTCTCAAGATTCTACTTTGCAAATTTCATAACACGAATATTTTTTAATGATAGTCAGATCATAATATCCCTTTCAATCAATTATTTTTGGCATATTGTTGCCAATAATCATGATTGGCTTTTGATTATAAATTTTTCGTTTTAATAACTTTTATTCAACTTTTATGAAGTACACTGTAAAAAATTCCGGATCATATTACGGTATAAAGTTCTGGCACTTTGGGAGCATCATCCGTAAAATCCATTTTAAAATAAAATTCTATTTTTACCAGAATTTTTATTGCAATTTAATTAGAATGATCCAGTAATTTTGCTGTAATTTTTACTGCAAAAATTACTGTGTGTCAGATTTTTTTGTTCTGTATTATGTTCCGGTAAAAATGGACTTTACGATAAAATATACCGGCACTCTGGGTGCCGGAACTTTTTACTGCAATTTAATCCAGATATTTTTTCTCAGTGTATCTGACTGCCGTGATTTAAACCGATGCTGCTTATTTGTTATCGCAACAAATATTTATTTAAATTTTAAAAAAATTAAGTGGACCTAAACCATCAAAAAATATTATAAATGCAAGTTTCATTTACCTACATTGGAAAAATATCATGTTTAAAAATAAACTATTTTTTTCCAAACATTTATGAAAACAGACTATTTTTGCTTAGTAATGACCTGAATAATTTAAATAATTTAAAATTTCTATATCCATCAGATGCTCATATTTTACATTGTTTTAAAGATAATAATGCCTGAATTGCTTTTATTTTTAATGCTCTCTTATAAAATTTTGAATAACACATCTTATTTACATATTGTGACTTTATACAAATAAATGCTTCAAGAAGACTGAAATACATTTTTATTTGGGATTTTATATGATACTATGTTTATTTAAATTATTAAACCGGTATTTACAAAGTTTGATTTTACACATTATAATGCTGAAGAACTGTGATGTGATAATAAGAAAATAAAAATGGAACATTTTTTTTTTAATTCACGTCAGTTTAGCGTTTATCTCAATCGTTAAACCTATAACAGAGTTGATTCCTCAAAAAAAATATATGATGAATTAAAAAAATTTTTTTTTCTCTTTGGTCATGGAAGTTAAATAATAAATATGGAATATGAGGAAGCTACCGCTATACATAAATTTATCTATTCCATTTTATAAATATTTAAAGACAAATATTTCTATATATTTATATATAACTCTCTCTATATAAATAAAAACAAACATTAAAACTAAAATTTGGAAATACTGAGGTCTTACCAAATTATTGACAAAAAATAATTTCAATGATATTCAAAATCAAAAACGCTGAGCTGATTTTTTTTCTCCATCTAAGCAATCAACGTTCTTAATTTGAAATCAAATTTCAATAGGTATTTTATTTTAAAAACAATACCATGAATGATATTTCAAACATTTCCTTCGAACTTTTTTCTAAATTTGCATCAGCAAATCATCGAATTTCATGAACTGGTGATGCGAGAAGTGAATGGAAATATTACTATCGTTACTAACAATATATTCAAATATCTAAGTCGAATCTCCTAAATAAAGCAGTTCATTTACTTTAATTTAAATACACAGTTCAGTCAGATTAATGTGACCACCACCTACTTTCGACGACAAAATGAAATAACCAATCACAGAAGGCAGGTAGCAGCACATTACAGTGGAGTGTAAATAAAAGATGTCCCAGGGCATTGAATCAAATCATACTGATTTCGTCAACGCACCGTAACTTGTAATTGTTACGATGCGTTGAAAAAATCAATATGATTTGATGATTCAAAGGGGCAGTAAGATACAGAATGAATGAAAATTGTGATTTTGGTGAGAAAGATAAGGATGAGAAGCGAAAGATAAGGATGAGTGGTAGATAATTCGTTCCAGGGACGAACAATTTTTGACAAACTTCTCACTAGAAGTTTAATTTTTATAACTTATTCATCTTATTTTTATTTTTATGTACTTTTCATTGTATTTTATGTACTTGTATTTTATGTATGTAATACAACATGTATCATTTTCTATGATTATACTTGAGCAAGTTGCTCATTACTAATTATTTACTTTCAATTTTAGATATCAAGGACCTCAAGGAAGCACCACAAGGATCCGCATCTCATGATAAAGGGGTAAGGGGCCGTTCCGGCCTCAGGCATCCCGACCAATCTACAGGACTAGGACTAGGACTTGAACAAGTTCAGCATCCGAAAGCATTTTAATCGTTGACGTAATGCAGAAACGTAGCGATTTATTCGACGTCCAAAAAGGCATGATTTTTGGCTTTCGAGCGAAGAGTGAAAGCATTTCGGAAACGGCTAATTTTGTGAGCTGTTCGCGTGCCACCATGATAAAAGTATACCGTGCATGGCAAAATGGCACTATCCAAAATCAGTGGCTTGGCACATGTGGTACTACGATACGGGCTATAGATGACAGAGGCGAACGAAGGCTACGGAGATGCGTTCGGGCGAATAGACGTACAACTTGCAGCTCAGATAAACCAAGGGGCTACCAAGAGTAAACCTAATTGGCTCTCTTCCTGCACGTCTCGCAGCGGTCCGCTCTGCCAAAGTTGTTGGCTTTTGACAGGTGGTCACAATAATGTGACTGTACTGTGTATTTCAAAATACTTATCTTTAATGTTGAAAGAATAGTAGTATGAGTAGTAGTAGTAGGTCGCCCTACAGAGTCACAAAGGGATAGGTGACGGTCGGGAAAACCTGAGGATGATCCGAGACATGCAATCGCAATTTAGATCCACTGAGGAGCGGATGACTTCCCCGTTTTGGTAGCCCGATAAACTATGCGCAAAGTTGAGCACTTATCGGTAGAACAGTTTCACGAGTACCGATGCAAAGTATTCTCGGTTTCTTCGCAATCTAGTTTTAACCCACTCGCTTACTGACACCTGCCAGTCATGATTGACTTGGGTGATCTACTGAGAACCGTGTCTTACGATCCTCTGCGGAAAGTTTAAAAAATAACACTTACAAAATATTAAAACAGCTCCAACTAAACAGGATACCCTATGTCACATTTCTAAATTGTAGCACTGGTTTTGCATGCAACTGAAAATGTAAGCATTAAAAAATAAATCCTACTACTATTAAATAGGACAACACAAATCAATAAAAGTTAGTAATTTTGCTAATTAATTTTAATAGATAGAGCTAAGTCATGTGGATTTTATATGGCATGTAGTTAGAATGCATGGTCAATATATTTACTGTGCAATTAGTCGATTCCGAAAATGTCCCTAATTTTGGCGTATAGAATTAAATGAGTTGACCTCATTCATGCTAATTCATGAAAATGAAAAGCATATTTAAATCATTATCGGAATATTTAAAATTTTCTACGGGATTTCTTTACATGTGTAAATTCAAAATTGTTATCTAAGCCGTAAATTATAATAATTCTTTGAATATTTTAAAAAACATTGCCCTGCAGTCCAAAATTTAAAAAAAAAATCAAAATTTTAATTATTATCGACTTTCAAGTTTCAAAATCAGGCTCTGTATTTGTAATTTTAAATTGCTGTATTGTGGGAAATAACCTATATAATAATTTTTATTGCATACAAATGCTCTCTTTTAAATCTATTGCTTAAAAATATTACTCAAAATGTTACTCTTAAATTAAAAATACAATGTGAGATAATTAATGAGAAATTTGTCATTTAATATAAACTTGTAATTCACTATAAACTTTTTTTTCTTTTATCAAATGTAGTAAAAATGTGGAAAAAAAACCTATACACAGACAGGAAAATATAGATGTTTTTGCCTGCACGCAACATTAATAAATATTTGTGCAATTTATTTCTTTCGGAGATATTTATCAGCTAATATTTACTGAGTAATTCAGTTTAAAGTAAGTAACCAATAAGAATAATTTCAACAAGATATTAGTCATATAGGAACTTTTCTTATTTATGATTTATGATCAAAATCATAAGAAACTATTCACAAACATATATGGCAACGTTACTTTTAAAAAGTAACGAGTAAAAGTACAAGTATTTTTAAGAAAAGTAACGAGTAAAAAGTAAAAAGTTCTTATTTTAAAAAGTAACGAGTAAAAAGTACAAGTAAAAGTACAAGTACTAAACAAAAAAAGTAACGATTTAAAAGTACATTTCTAGGAAATCGAAAATTCAAAGTGACCTAAAATTTTATTGAATAATATTCTTATGTTCTTTAATGCCTTTGCAAAATTGTTGTTATTTATTTAATTATTTTTAATTTTGAAAGTTATGGGCATTAATTTATTTTTAAATTCGGAAGAATGTTATAATATAATTTTATAATATAATCATATAATATAATTTTAAAATCAAATATAATTTTAATATCAAATTGTTTATGGATTTGCGCGAAAACGAAATTTTATCTATTGATTTTAATTTTTAGTTTATTATTTTTAGTTATTTAAATTACCATTGATTTAAAATTGTTTTACTGTATAGAAACGCGTTTCAAAAGCACAAACATAAACAAAGCAAACACGGGGTTTCAGATAGCTTTAAGATCTTTGAGCTAGTAAAAAATAATTGAATGCGCAGTATAAGTTGAAACAGAACTGCCTACAGTTTTATTTGTAATAGTGGCTAATGCTAAAGTCATGCGAGAAAGTCATTTTCCGAGCATTTCTGCCTAACGGAATAATTAAAATTTGTGAACGAATTTTAGTATCAGCGGCTAAATTAATACCTTCGAGTTCTCAAGAGTTAAAATAGTAATTATATTAGTTTTCAATAGCACAAATAGTTCTGAAGTTCTTAGAGATTTGACTAGGCGTTGTTTGACAAGGTCGGACATAAAGATAATTTTAGTAAAAATGTACTAGGGAAAAATGTATTTAGTAAAAAATGTATTAAGACATAAATGTATTATTAGTGAGTTCAAAAGAAAATTGAAAAACGTAATAACAAAATCCAACATTTTTTATTCAAAATGTATTAAATAAATGCATAAAACTTGAAAATGAATTAAAATACCTTGCTAATTAATATTTTTATTCATTTTGCGAAATAATTGCATTTCGAAAGTGATGTCACTGAGTCTGCTGCGAGAATTTCTCAGAACGTGCTTAGCCACGCTGAATAAGCGCTCCACGGGAGCACTAGAAGCTCATGTATGCCATAAATTCTTCTGTCGCTAGTGATTGGCTTGATGTTTTCAGCTTTAGAAAATTTAAAATCCCCGTTCTTTTCTGTTACGTTATTAGTTATAGCAGGATGCTCATCTTGGACAATTCTTTCCAATTTTGTGTAGCCTCCTGCCTAGTTTTTTCTTCCAACCAATTAAATTTGATTCAAGGTACCAAACATGCAGCAAACAATAAATCGTGCAATAAAGGTCCTGCGATTTCACATCGCGAAACCTTTAGCGCACGCCATCTTAAAGAGCTTTGTTTAAAGCTTTGCAAAATGTTGTTTTAATAATGTTACTATGAAGCTCTTCTTCAAAAGAGCCGTCTTTTCCCTTTCAGGAATGACAATTTTAAAAGGTCAAGGTATTTAAACACGAAGTTAGCTTTGAATGCATATATATTGCACATTAATTTTATAAATTGAAAAAACATAAGCATTTTTTAAAATTATTTTTTTTAATTTTTTTTTTTTAAAAAGCTTACCGAGTTTTAGAAAAAAGTAACGTTTTCATTCGACATTTCCGTTACAAATACTTGTACTTTTTCCCTAAAAAAGTAACGAAAGTACAAGTAAAAGTACTAAATTTAAAAAGTAACGAAGTACAAGTAAAAGTACGTACTTTTTACTTGTACCGGCGGTACAAGTAACGAAAGTAAAAGTACTGCCATATATGTTCACAAATACCATTAATCATTATGATTCAATGAAAAATTATAAGAAAATATTTTTTATACATTTCAGTATTGTATCTTTTTGTTAGCAATACGCGAAAGGAAAAAATGGTAAAATTACCGTACTGTATGGTAAGGAAATTTCTGGTAAGAAAAACATAATTTTGGTTAATAAAACCAAAATGTATAGTATTTAAACTACTCAATTTGCGCTTTTTCTATTCATATGATAAGAGTTTACCAGGAATTTTGCATTTCAAAATTATAGTTTTTCTTACCACTCATTTAGTAAAATCAACGTAACTAAAGAGTAAATTTAATCGAATAAATTATATTTATGCCATGCTCTAAGGAATCATCATAAAAATTACCAAATTTTATCTCACATTGAAAATTAATATTTAATCGAAAGTTTTACCCAAATCATTACCAATGCGCTTGGATAACAATAGAGTCGGAAACACCACCAATTTTACCAGATTCTGGTAATTTTGACAGTATTTTTTTTCTCAGTGTGTTATAAATTGTTACGAAAGAAAAAGATAAAAAGCTGAACACAAGACAAATGATGTTAAAATTAGAGATATCATCTAGGAAAAAAATAATTTTCTGTTTTCTAAAATCCTCTGAAAGCTATTGTCTTTAAACTCCATTAGCGTGAAAAATATATCTCATCTACACTAATGTGCGCAAGTTGCTCAGGACATTTAAAAGGATCGAGAGGTCCATTATCTTATAGTTAACAAAATGTACTAGACAACAATGTCTTTTCATCTACTCTTGATATACCAACATCTTTTACTTGATTAATCCAAGTTTCAATGATCATCCAAACGGCCATTATTCTGTTAGCTATCAGGAATTTTTTTCTGCTTTAGATACACTACCAATCAATAGTATGAGCCACTGGGCACCGGAAAAAGCCCACAGAATGACTTACTGAGCAAGATTTATTTGGGTAGTCAAGCAAGAATATTGATTAACTCTATCCAACTCGGAAGATACTCTATCTTCTCTTCATCAAACGCTTTACACTTTTCCCTCTGTCATTTAGGTCCTTTTGTGAAGTTGTGACCGTAAAAGAATTGAAAAAGATCTAATTCATTCTCCAGTCATATATTTTTGAATCTTCAGTAGATCGCGAAGCATATTCTTTTGATAAATCATTTAGATCACATATGATGAAGGTAATAATCCAATATATTTATTCATAAAGTTATGGGTAAGTCAGGAAAAGAAGTCGGGATAATCTGCGTAGGACATCGCGGGAAACGGGAATGAAAAATGGATAGCTGAGATCGATGTCTCGGAAAGGAAAAGAAATACCTCCGCTTTCCCGACGTTTGTCATAAAGTACGATAATTAACGATCTTTGGTTACGAAAAAGAAATGACAAAATGCGAAATCTCAAAAGACCGTTGAAATGGATCTTTTGCGCCATCCAATAATGCCATAATTTCTGATGTGCATTTCTATAGGAATAATGGCAAAATGCTTTTATTTTCCAGAGATATTTTTCAAATTATGAAAAATGTGAAAGAAAAAATGCAAATGCTTTGAGTTATGGTTAAATATATTGTGGTAGAAGAGACTGAATTTATAATAATATTTTGAGGAAATGTGAAATCTGGAGATAGAAGTTAAATTGACTCAATTAATATAGATAACGTTGATCTAAAAAAAAACACTACACCCTAAAGAACTTTTCATCCCATGATCGGATTTTCACTTATTAAGTCGTATTTGTACACTTAATGGCATTTATGAAAACATGTTAAGCATCTGGTCATTAAATAATAAACTATCGACTGGCTCAGATGAA